GTGTTGTTAATAGCATTCACCTGTGAGTGCTAGAGTCGATTGCGACAGCCCCCAATTCAACGGTATTGCTCGTTTGTTGGCTTGCGGTTAAAGTTTAAAAAGTTCATGCATCTCTATATGGGGTTGTACTTACACACACCCGCTCACATTGGTGCGTTAATGTCATGTAGTAGAAGACATGGTTCCTGTTCTTGCTTCTTCTGTGTGCTTGCGCCTGTGACTGGAGTTTACATGATTGGTTGCCTGTCTGTATAGAGTACAGGCTACCATGCCCCAGCACATCAGTGTCAACTACCAAGCTTTAGCCGCTGCTTTGTTCTGTTGGCGTATGTCCACCTATTGGTTTATTCGTATTCTGAGACTTGGGCAATGCTCGTCTGCTGTACGTGCCTCCCTAAGACACTACGGATGCTGTATAACCCTCAACAAGGGCACTTGATGTTAAACAAGCCTAGGTTATGATATATATATATATATATATATATGCGTATGTATTGTTGTACATTGTCTTCGCCAGCCCTTAATATACAACGTCGTGTGCATACCCTAAGCTCATCTCTGCGTATCCAATAATTCATACTACTCTAATCGGTAGGAAAACGGGAGAAGCCTTAGCGAAGCTGATGTTCTTGCAACCCACTGAGGCCACGTTATTGACAATGGATAGCGATGGTAGTATAATCAACGAGGAGAAGCTGCATGTGGATCTGGTCCGAAAGGGCGATATCCTCCGCGTCACCGCAGGCGAGCAGGTGCGTGTGCGTGAGTGTGTTTATTTGTAAAAACTGCCGTACTCAAAGTAGGACTTCTGTGTATATGCATACCATATACGCGATGCCCTTGAGTGCCAGTGGGGGTGGGGGGTGTTTGCATGTGTGTTATAGAATGGTATGTATTGTAGGGACATACACGTACTCGTATAGAATCGTATACGAAAGTGCATGTGTATGACAGTTGAAACTAGACGCTCCCTCGCATATAGGTGTATGTTTACGCATACAGATGTAGGTTTACGAATGCAAATGTATGTTTACACGTACGAAAGTACGTGTAAGCATACAGATGTACGTTGACACATTAGTTGTTTTTAGAATTATATCTAGAGCACACATAGCAAACTACAAGGTTCTTATCTTATTATATCTATAGCACACATAGCAAGCTCAAGGTCCTTATCATCTCTGCATTGTATTGGTTGCAGGTGCCGGTTGATGGCGAGATTGTGTACGGACGCTCTACGCTGAACGAATCCATGATCACGGGCGAGGCCAAACCTGTCAACAAAACCATTGGGTATGGGAACTACGCCTTTACAGAGGAATAGTATAGTAGTCTGTTAACCCCCTGTAGAAGTCACTGTGCTGGCATGGGTTTTAGTTAGAGTTCGTATGGTTGCACCTTGCCCAATTCAGTTGCCAGTGGTAACGCGGATGTGGGTGCGGCCTTTTTTGTTCGGTTTACGGGTGCAGTGCGGGGTAGTCCTGTAATGTACTTGGACGGAGTGTCGTAGTTTACTTCACCCTTTGTTCGGTGGTCGACTGTACATATCCCAACCGCTCATGGAACACACTCCCTTATCGCGCACTCTCATTTGTATCAGTGATCAAATCATTGGGGGCACTCTCAATGAAACAGGCAGTGTGCACATCAAGGTCACCAATGTGGGCGCAGACTCAGCCCTGTCGCAGATCGTCAAACTAGTCGAAGAGGCACAAACCTCCAAGGTAGGTCGAGAGTCTGAATGTATGAATATATTTATATACTTTGATATATATTATATATACTATATATATATATATATATGTGTGTGTGTGTGTGTGTGTGTGTGTGTGTATATATATATATATATATGTGTGTGTGTGTGTATATATATATATATATATGTGTGTATATGTATATATATATCAGTAAAGGAATATTCAAGTGTGTGTGTGCGTGTGTAACTGGCTATATGTGTACATATGTGTATATAATATTCATATAAATACAGACATGTCAGTGAGCCTATAGTTGCATAACTGTCACAATGGTAGCATCTGCGTCTGTTTGTCTGACACTCGCCGAACCGCAGACACTTCCTGTGTCCTTATGTTTATCTTATGAGTATACAAATAACTTTATTCACTGACCCCGATCGTAAGCTTGGCGTCTTCCCCACGCTCCGGTTAGTACCAACATCCGTGGCACATACCACCATTGTTGTTAACATCGCATGTGTCAATACTGGTATACACGCGGTTGGTTGTATACGAATTGATACACACGCGCATACTTAAACAAAGATGAACTAAGGCATACATCTGTGTATGTATTGGTATATATTACTACGGTATATGCCTATGTGCATGTATTGTGTATATATGTACATCCTTGCGCATACTGGCATATACAAGCTTGCACACCCCAGTCCCAGCCATGCTATTTGTGTTTGTGATCATATGTATATCCATCAGCTTGGCCAACCACATGCACATCTGTTTACGCACCCACACACTCATACGTCGCTGTGCAAATCTCAACATAGGCCCCCATCCAACGGCTCCAACACTATCACGCGTAATACGTGACTCTAGTCCATTACGCCGGTATCCTTGCCTATACCATTACCAATCCGTACGCATGAAGTACAAACCTTTACAAACGCAATCTCTCCACCCTACCCCACTCCACCCCTTCCATTGGCAGGCTCCGATCCAGCGGTTCGCCGACACCATCGCGTCCTACTTTGTGCCGGCCATCATCTGCATCGCCTTGAGCACATTTGCGGTGTGGTATGTGCTGTTGCTGACGGGTGTGGTGACAGGCCCAGAGGACATCCCTTCGGTGCAGTACGCCCTCAACTTTTGCATCAGTGTGTTGGTGGTCGCCTGTCCCTGTGCCCTGGGACTGGCCACACCCACAGCCGTTATGGTATGTCCATATACCTAGTACGCGTATGGGTTTGTATGGGTTAGTATACATTGTGCAAGGGGTGGGTGTGGGTGGGTGGGTGTAGTGGGTGTGTAGTGTGACACACTTGACTTCTGCATCATTTGTGCTGATCTGTCCCTGCGCCCTGCCACGCCTACTGCCGGAAAGGTATACTTCTGTTATATTGGTGTACACATGAATCCGTACATGCATATGTATATATTTATATTTATATTTATATTTATATATGCCTTGGGGATAGGTGTAGATGAGCTAAAATCCCGTAGTCTAGGAAGTAAAACACCTTTCTGGATACGTTATGCCCAATGAAGGATACATGTACGTTATATACACCAACCCGTGTACACGCGTGTCAGTCTATTCGCTCAGAGACGTCTCACTGGCAGAGGACTATACACGTGCTTTGGGCCTAGGGTAGCTCAAGATTATACGTTTATACTACAGGTCGGCACTGGGGTTGGGGCGCAGAACGGGGTGCTGATTAAAGGCGGAGAGTCGCTGGAAGCTGCACACCTCATCAACACGGTCTTACTGGACAAGACTGGGACTATTACCGAGGGTAAGCCGAACATCAGTCTGTTCAGGCTACTGTCACGCGACGGGAAATGGACTAAAAATGAGCTGGTGCGTCTGGCGGGTGTAGCTGAGAGTGGTTCCGAGCATCCGTTTGGAGTTGCGATTGTCAAGTACGCCAAAGCGACTCTGCGTGTGCTGGCCTTCGCACAACCGGAACGAATGATGGTCGCTGCTGGACAGGTATATATTTATATATATGTATATATATATATATATGTATACGTATAAACGTTTAAAGACATGGATATAGTACATGTCTGTATGTGTATTTAGATATTTGCAAACGCATGGGAGTGTCCCGATGTACCTGGGCGTGTTAGTGTATATTGTGGTCACCACCCTTTGGGTGTGTCATTGTGCAAACCCAAATTCGCACTCATATACTATATGGGCCTAAAATGGTATCTGTATATAATACATGTACATGAAATGGTGTGTGAATATTATACATGTGCATGAATTGGTGTATGTATATAATGCATGTACATGAAATTGTGTGTGTATATTATACATGTATATGAAATGGTGTGTGATATTATACATGTACATGAAATGGTGTAAGTGTATAATACGTGTACATGAAATTGTGCATGTATAATATACATATTTATGAAATGGTGTGTATATTATACGTGTACGTAAAAGGTTGGAGTAGTGCGTGAGTTGCCTTTTTTCACAATGCGTTTGTAGTGTACCTGAAACTACGAAAATACCAAGTCCAGTGAAAATGGATGTGTCGTACATCATGCTGTTCAACATGA